ATTGAAGAAGCATTTTCGCGCAAGCCATGGCTTGGTATAGGCTATCATTGCTGCCCGTCTCAGCCTGCCCCCTCCCGCCGCCAATTACTTGCTGTTGCAAACGCAAATTGCCCAAGTTACATCACCAGCTTATAATCAGTTTGACTGGCCGTCCTGCAGTTGTTTGAATACCATTTTGACATGCGTTTGCGAGAATGCTGAAACCGCGTGTTTGTTAGAGTCAGCTTGTTTTATTTGGCAAAATGGAGTGGCCGCTAGCCATTACTACACCATGTGTAAAGTTCACAGCAGTCGAGGGCCTGCCTGTTAGTGTTTTCCGATAGCCTACCTTCCAATTGTTGTTGCCCGACCGCAACGATTAAATCACGTTTTGGAACTTTTTCCATTGGTTTTTAGACCATCGTAAAACTCATCTTTCGTAGCGTCGTCTGCCCTTAATGTTGGCGCATAGATGACAATGATGGATCGGTTAAAAACAGTTCACTGCAATCATCAATAAGAATGATGCGAGTTGACTGAGAGTCTCAAAGTAGGAACCTCATACACTTTATCAGACAGCACTGTGGTCACACCTTCCATTCATGATTCATCTGTTGGGCCACTGTGGTTGCTGTCGAGACCAAAAGTCTTTCATTGACCTTGGTCCGAAGTGAGGGCTGCAAACTTACCAGAATCAGGCAATGTCTACTTTGTAACCGGATCGGGTACGGTCCATAATAGTTTTATTCCGGGGTGGAATAATTCCAACAGGCTAGTTAGATCCGTTTGCGTACTATTCGCTCATGTCACCAGTTTGCCATTCCCATGCGTTTCGACTAACTGCGGACTCCGCAACGCTTGACGGAAGAGCGTCAGGAATAATTTTCATGGAGTTTCATGGGGTTGATTGATGCACACGGGCTCCCATCTGTCTCCTATCATATTATAGAAGTTTTTTTCTCCAGCCTTTGACCTTGTCAGGTATAAGCTCAGGGCAACGATGACATTGGCAGCTTCATTGTTAGGGGGTCATTTTCAGCTGGTCATGGGACAATCATGTGGTTATATGCCACCATTTTAAAGGTAGCAGGTTTGCTAGATTGATCTCCAGTCAAACCTTGATCGTACCTACCACTGATTGCCCACGGTTGCTTCTTCGACACAGCTGACCTCAATATCTGTGTGTCGTTCCTGTCGTATCCCTGTCCGCATTTGGGCACGTGGCAGGTGAGCAGCAGCTATTACTGATCATTATTCCATGCGCTGCATCTGCAAAACCACCGCTCTACAGAGCATACAGTAAGATGAAGACTTTCATGAAGCCACCTTCTTCTGAATAGAGTTCTTATAGATGCATAGAGATTCTTCAGTCAACTTCATTACAACCTTATCGTTAACCTGATTAGAGAACTTCTCATATGGCAGTGTTACTGAGAATGAATTGGGTTTCACGCGTTTCGATTTTGCTGCGATCCCGTCCCTTCGTGGGTACCTCCCGCCTCCCTCCCCAGTGCGCGACGTGCCATGACTTTGCTTTTGCCCTCAAAGAGCAATAACCAGTGATGCTATTCAGGGAAGCAAGAAAAAATATTGTACAAAACGTAAAAACTATAAGAACAGTTTCGCTGCAACGTTTCCTTAGAAAAAATGTTAATGGTTATATTCAGATGAAAGCAGCCAGCTGCTGAGCTCTCGATGAAGGATATATAGCAGGGCTACTTAGAAACAAATGAACGAGACTAAAGGGTTGCTGCTTCAACAAAGCTTCCAACAGCGTTTCATTTCTCAAACCATGGATCGACAAAGAGGAACTCGGTCTTGCCCTTTCTGCATGAAGTCCGTCCATAACAACTGAACACAGCCTCGTCACACAAATTTAGATTCTATCAGTTCTGCATGATACATACATACATGCTGCTGTATAGCTCCGAAACACAAACTTTGCTGCATTCTGACATTAGCCACTCCCAGAACTTCCGCATGCATTGCCAAAGACAGCTCCTCGATATCAATTAGTACAATTTCAACCGCCATACAGTGTAATTGCAGCGTACTCATATTCCTGCTGCTGGCAACACCATATGATCTACGCAACACTAAGTTTTCGGCCATGACTCGGGATTGCTGACACCTTCATTCTTTCCTACTCTTCTCCTTGCTAGCCAGCGATGGAGGATTTCCTCCTTCCCCATGGCCCCGTATAGACTTGGCGAGTCAAGCGGTTACACCGGCCTATCTGAGCAGGCCCCTTCGTAAACGAGATCAGCAGAGACATTCTTCTGGTTTGAGCAACGACCCTCCATCGACCGCTCGAACATGATGATGAATGATTTCCGCAAATGCTTCTAGCCTATTCAGATTGGTCGGTTCCTATGATATCATTACGGTTTCGTTTTTCCTTTTTGTCTGAACATTTCAGCGCAAGACACATTAGTCATATCGTGTACTTCTCTTGCTCATTCATAAATTGTATTCATTTTCTCCTAGATTGCAGTAGCCTCAGCTCTGCAGGACGATTAGTGTTCCTTGCGATTCGTGTCGAACGGTATTCACATTTGAATTACAAGAACAGAAAATGCAAAACGAC